CTGTCTCACCTTTCTTCTTTCTCAAAAGATGAAAGAGTACAAACTCACACAAACACAGGCAGGCAAGCTGGCTCGGACTTCACAGAGTTAATTCTTTGGAATTGATAACGTCCTTGGCATTCCAACACACTCTGCCTGCCAAGTCCGAACTGATAACAAGTAAAAAGCTACTTCCAGAAAATTACAAGGCAGACCATAAAATCATTCACAAAGAAAACCTGAAGCAAGATTAAACTTTGTCCCGTACAAAGTTCCAGCCGACAACACACCTACTTTTGTCCCCTGTGGGGTGTGGCTCAATGACTCAGCTCACTCTCTGACCCTCCCATGCCTCCTACGTTGCTGCTCACGTTTCTCCCTACGACGCTGCCTAGGATCAAGCCAACACTCTTCCTCTTGACTCCCTGTCAGGGGCTGCTCCGATATGCCTTCCTTCTGATTAATCTCAGGCTGTTCCTCTCGGTTGTCTGATGGAACCTGAGGCATTATCAGGGAGGAAGGCATTGCCAGAGAGGAAGGTCCTGGGGAGGAAGGCATTCCCAGTTCCTCCTCCTCATCTTCCAGGTCCTCTTCCTCTAACAGCACAGGCTCGGGAATCGGAGCCACAACATACATACATACATACATACATATTATATAGAATGTAAACATGCATTATTTTTATATGTGATTTAACAATATAAGACAAAAACATGGGTTAGAGGATTGTTCTGTGTTCAATGTTTTTAATGTTTTTGTTTATGTTTGCTTGTTCAATAAAATTTAAAAAGTATTAAAAAAATAATTCAGGTACTTGGCAACAGGCTCATATTTATGGCGGTTGCCTTGTCCCGGGGGTCCCGGGATCTCCTTTTGTGACCTTCTGACAAGCAAAGTCAATAGAGAAGTCAGATTCACTTAATAACCATATGACTAATTTAAAAACTGCAGTGATTCACTTAACAAATGAGGCAAGAAAGGTCGTAAAATGGGCCAAAGGTCACTTAACACATTTCTCACTTAACAACATAAATTTTGGGCTCAATTCTGGTCGTACATTGAGGACTACCTGTACTGCATAAAAATGCCCTTCTATAAAGAGGTGACTCAGATTAGTTTTGGTCTGGGCTCATTCATAACTCCTTTCCATTCCATTTCCACATTCATCTGTGAGTGCTTGGGGTTGAATCAAAGTTCTGCATACTTTGATGATGAAGTGAGTAACATAATGTGTTTTAGGCACAATTTGGCATGTTTTTAAAAGCCAGAAAAAATTCAACCCCATTTGTAGAGAATGGCAAGAATAACTGTTTTCTCAAACATATGTTAATTCAGGAAGTGGTTTCCTTTGAAATGAAAATCAAATTGTCTTCAGTAGCCATCCAAATACTTTTACAAAGGAATTTCTTATAATCACCTTCCACAAATCATAGTGCTGCGTAAGAGACAGAAACACTGCAAACTTAACTCTCATATTTTATTTTATTTTTTAAAATGGAACATTTATAATAGTCACAAAGCCATCTTAGAGAAATCCCTAAATATAGTCAACTCGCTATAATTTGCAGCCATGGAATGCCTCACTTTCCATGTATTTAATTTTTTCCCCCAGTACTGGTTTATTTTGTCCTCGATGAATTTTATTAAACAGTAAAATTACAAAGGGAGTTACTAATGGATAAAGCAGGGACTTTGGAAAATAGCAAACCATGTTTCTTAATTAGACCAGCAATGCATATTCCAGAAGCTATAGATGATTGTGCTAAATGTGGAGTAGAGATATAATGGCAAAGAAAATAGCCACATAAGAACCTCTGTTAATTTTGGCAAACGATCTAAAGTTAACCTGGGAAGTGTGTCTCAGGCTGTGGACATTTGTTTCTAACAGGAGGCCTCCCCCAAATATGTTGATCTCTGCATGAAATTGACAGGAATTGTACATGGACACTTAAAGCACAGAGTTAGCACAGTGTGAGTAATGCAAAGATTTAAAGGCCTCCCCAATCTGCTAAATGGTAAATGGTTTCCTTTCTCCCTGCCCAGCCAGCCTGGCTCCAGGTAAACTCTGCTCATGGCAACGATTCTTTCCCTCAAGCATAGTCTGATATGTGAGAATGATGACCATGTTAGATTGCAATTGTGGGGTCCTTGGTACTCTGGGGTTTTTCTTGCAGATGTTCCATGCAAGTACACCAATGACGTTACCTGGTTGGGTAATGAAACGTCTCCAAGAAAACATCCAGGCTCAGAGAGCACTTAAGTCTCCACAGTTCAACCCTAGCTACAAATATTCTTTTCTATCAGTAGATTATAATTTTCAGAAGTGGCCAAAATGGCTATCTATAACCATCTCTGTGGCATTCCCGGTGGACCTTTTTCATTTGGGCCAATCACTTAAGATTTGAATGACTCCTCTGATGCAACCGTTCAATGCCAAATGAAATCCCAGGTCCTCCTTGGTTCTACCAGCCAACCCATCCTAGCAGATGGGACTTGGGGCATCCGTCTTCTGCCTGACCAGAGAGGTAGAGGAGATTCTTATCAGAAAGAGTCCCATAAGTAAACCAGCCCCAAACCTTGATGGGTTTCAAAGGCGGCAACCAACACCTTGAATTGCAACCAGTAGCTTATCTGTAAAAGAGGTGATATTTCTTATTGCTTTTTTTTTTAATGGTCGTAATGGGGGTTAGACTGGTGTGTGAATCCAACCTTGATTATATTCAGAGGAGAGCTCCTGAAAAATCACTGGGACCTAAAACCTTTTCAGGATCCAACTGGCTTATTTCAATGTGTCAGATTTGATTTAGTGAACATGTAGGGTGTGATGTGACCTTTGGCAGTGACCTTATCCCTGAGAAACTTGCTGCCTGAGAAAATAAAATTAAACAAAAGAATAA